TGTCCAGTCAGGAGACAAGCCGTTGGACTTATCTTTACATGCACCTGTTTCAGACACTCAGCTCCTGTTAGAACCACCGCGTGTTCTGGTTCTAACAGCTGAGTTGAACCTATTGTCTGGTTCTGTTGTTGTTTTTCTGTAATTATCAGCTTTTCTCACACTTTTTTAACACTTTTTTTATCCTCTTAGAACAATGGTTCTCAAAGTGGGGGGCAGGCCCCAGTTAGGGGACATGGAGTTATTGCAGATACTATATCAAGAAAGACACATCAATTTCAATTCCCACTTTCCCACTAGAAATTCAAATAAAAAAAAAATTAAAAAAAAGAAGAATTTCTTTTAAAAATAATTATGTGTGTAAAAAGTGTATACTTTTTCTTTGGAGCAATGGTTTCCACCGTGAGGCGCAGGCCCCTCCTTAAGAGTCGAGGGGCTACACAGCACGGCAAATCTATTTAAATTTTGAATGTCCTCTATAATTGTGTCACAGTGGGTAAATGTCACTCACTATTAATAAAAAGGGGGCGCTGAAGTTAAGTAAGGAAACCGGTGCTTTAGAAAAGGCTTTGTCATTGCACATGAACACAGAATAGAACAGAATAGAATAATTTGTGGTCACTGCAAATGACAGCAGAACTAAATAGGGAAATAAATCAAATTTTTTAAAAAGTTTGTTTTTTAAATTGGAGACTTGCAATAATCAGGGTAATATTTTCAGTTAAAAAAAACGCAGCTATAAAAAAATGTAAACAGTGCAACGGGGGCAAAGTTCACATCATGAAGTCAGGATAAAGTATCGTGATGTGTGGCTTCAACACATCTTCACGAGTCATGGGCCTCATGATCTCACAGCCTCCGGTAGAAAACACTACAGACATCCTTAATCCGCATTCATTAAGATTTTTTTTTTTTTAAATCCCACTGCTGAGCCACAGACACTGAGCTCTGAAGAATGTCTCAGTTGAACCCGAGCTTTAGAGTCTGTTCATACGAGAAGGTGAATTCCTAAAAGATCTTCTCAAAAATGATCTCGTGTCTGACTGATGACAACAATGTCTGCAAATGTGTTTTTTAGTTGTTGGCCATCACACATCTTCCCAAAATACTGAAGCAGCAGCAGCAGCAGCAGCAGCAGCAGCAGCAGCAGGAAACCTTCAGAGCATCACTGAAGTTGTCGCCTCTGTCCTTGCAGTCAGCGCAGGGGGAAATCAAACAGCACATTCCTCAGAGCGGCGGTGACACGCACCGCAACCGGAAGCGTTCTTATGGTATAAATCCCACTTACCTCCTTCTCTCTCTTCTGCGTCCCTCCCTGGAATGAGCATGGCATCCCCTCAGCCTAACACTGCATGGATAGACAATGGGTAGCGGGGGGGGAGGAGTTACTATGAGAGCAGGGGCTTTAGAGGGGAGAGAAAGTGGGAGTAAAAGCAGAATT